AAATATATCGTAGTTCTGATGAACTATTGTGGGAAAAGTACACCAAAGTACTCCGGTGTGAACGCACCTATTGAAGGACCAAAAAGGATTCAGCTGCCCGAAGTAAAACACCATTTCCTTCCTCGCTTCCAGTTAAATTGTTGAGGCCTATTGCACTATACTGATTTGACTTTTCTGATCTAAAAACTGCATTTCTACACAATTGTGTGTGTAGTGAACATGCTACATCATGCAGAAACACATCATAAACATATGATGCATTAAAGGAACATAACCTTAAAGCTGTCTGTGCTGACGGGTTCTCTTACAGAACATCACTGGCATTGAAGATGAAAGGAAAATAGACACCATTGCTGCGATTTAAAGTTCCCTAAGGACATTCATGAAAGACTTTCTGTTTTCCCCCCCCTATCAGCGCTGATAAGACGCGAGTGGAAGAGCCGGTATGATCGTGTGATGAAGGCGGTGGGCAGCCCGGTGGCTCCAGGCTGCAGGGAGGGGGAGGGGGAGGGGGCGGGGGCCGTGCTCGAGCCGGTCACCCAGGAGCAGCCCATTACTCCCAAGAGGAAACAAGGGAGTGAGAGAGTGACATCCTGCCCTCCAACCTGCAGCCACAGCGCCTCACTGCCCTCTGACATCCTCGTTGAGATAAAGGTACGCCTGCATGAGAGGACATACACAGAAGGGAATTCCAGATCACTCTGCGAAAGAAGCCCTTTCAAGGAATTAATGTACTTCTCACTGAGGTTAAAGTGAATGTTGTCTTTCTTAAATGTACTTTTAATAAAGGAGTGGCTGAGCATTGCTGTTGGCCCCATGACCGACGAGGAGCTGCCGACCGGCCCTCAGCTCAAAACGCTGCTACAGAGAGTTGGAGACACACTGGCCTGCAGAAAGGTACATGGGACACACAAGTGCAACAAAACACAGGCAACGTTTGGGTGGATGTGCCTATTCTTTTTAGTATCACACTCGGAAGCTTCATTCATAACAATGACATTCTAACTTCTAAATCTACTTCAGGATTCTTCAATGTTTTTTTGATAGAAGACAGACATTTAAAAAGTGAAATATAAAGCCTTGACAGACAAAATATATAAAAAATGATAATACTTTTTAATATACAACCATGACACTTGTTCTCTTCTCTTCACTCAGTTCTCAACAGTGGTGTCGGAGCAGATGCTTCTAAACTGTACTGTCCTCCTGGGCTGCAAACTGGGTAAGAAACTCCTGAATGACAGACTCTTAATCATCAAATAATAATGTTGTGACCTGCATTGTGTTTGCCTGTAAACTGTTAAATAGCAACATAACGTCTAGTAGCCGTACTGTGTAACACACCTGAGTTCCTGCTGTGTCTCTCAGTGTCTGCAGAGCTGCCTGTACTCTCTCCCTCCGAGTGTAGCGGAGGTGATGGGGTCGTTGTGGTTGCTGGTTCAGGGTCAGAGCCTCCTGTCAGAGCTCTGCTGGAGCAGCTTGCTGAGCTGTGGGAAAGAGACTGCTGTTCCTCCGCCCCGCTCCACCTGCTCTTCACCCCGCTCACTGTCACTGCTGTGCTAAAGGCCAGCGACACTGAGGTACATCTACAACTGCAGTTACTAAAATATTAATGATAGTGCTACATGTCCTTCTACCTTTTTATATGCATTAGATATTCCCCTCAAATACCTCACTCTTTCCTGTATGTGCATGGCCCGCCTCTATAGGCCCTGCGATCAACACAGATCAAGGATTATTTTGTAGGCAACAGTTGTGCAAATGTTTCAATTTACTAATTTAAAATGGAGCAGAACACTTAAAATGTTACATCTTCTTTTTACCAAGCAAAATGTTTGAAACTTTGATACGTGAAGAAAATATTGGGAGTGTTTAACACTAGAACCGCCAGAGGTTTTTGTATACCTAAAACCGCCACCTGGGTCAAATTGACCCGCTATTAGAATGCATTGATTTTCAAGGTAAAATGTTCTTTTATTGAACAGTGAGTTTTGATCGCACAGGGATGAAACGTATACCAATAGAATCTGTGGACTCTCAGCTTTTCATATGACAGGGCTCGACATTATAAATGGCCCGCTGGCCCGGAAGCATTATTTAGACACCCGGCCAGCATAACGTACTTTCAACTCGCCCCACAGCTGTTTGCTGCGGAGCGCAGCGCGAGCAGTCTCCCGTGAGCGGCAGCGCACTCCTTCACTACAGACTGTCTCTATCTCTCTCTCTCACTATCTATAACTATCTATCAATATATCTATCCATCTATCTCTCTCTCTCTCAATCTATCTCTCAATCTATAAGGAACCGCAGTAGACAAAAGGCGTTGCTATAGCAACACGTCATGTTTATATGAAAAGGGGTGGGGTCAATATGACCCGCTGGGCGGAAATAGGTATAAATGGCAATTTTTTGGGCGATTTCTTCAATCTGACTTCATATTGACAATTTTTAACAACATAGGGTGCTACATAACACACTTTCAGGAAAAGTCACGGACTGGGAGACTTTAATATTTGATTGAAAAAAAGTTACATACAATAAAAAACAGCTCTGGGCCAAATTGACCCGATTGGCGGTTCTAGTGTTAAAAGATGATCCGACTGAGTTATGACATTACTCTTTATTTTAAAGTTTTTTCCCCCCATTTGTTTGACTCTTGTAACCATTTGTAATGCATGTCGTTTCAGTGGAACAACTACCTGTTCCTGGTTAGAGAGCTGGTGGACAGAGGAGCCTTGAGGGAGGAAGAGGTCGTATCTCATTGGAAGAAGTTAACAAACTTGGCCTTGCCAGCGGTGAGGGTTCGCTGCATTCCTTTCATTGTATTCCTTTGAAATTATTTTATTTTACTAGCGATTTGACCTCACTTTGACTCTTTCCTCTCGCTCAATTTGTTCTCTCATTTCAGGAGCTGATAGAGAATTTTCAGCTGCGGTCACAGAGCATTAAACCCTCGTTGCCTCTGGCTCAGCTGCAGAGCCACATGGAGATGCTGCAGGTCTCACAACAGACAGTAGAGGGAGCTACATGACAACAGTCTCACAACTCGGCATCTTTTCTCTGATCGCCACACTGCTCGATGTCACATCTGTCAAAGTGTTTTTCAAGACAGAGACAGATCTGGGTAACTCTTTGTTGTTGACAATTTTTTCGATTTCGCCACTGCTGTGCATCAAAGCTGTTCCACAGTCAGCCTCTGCACAGTCTTTGCAAGCCCCTGACTTTTGTTCTCCACCTGTGAAGTGACAGCAGCCTTTCATGAATCCCTGTGCTCGTTTGCAAAGCTGCCTGTGAGAACCAGAAAGCCCTATCAGTCAGAAGTAGCCAGAGGCCCACACCATCTCACTCCTTAAGATCTATTGATCTATTGTCTTAATCATTTTAGAATAGCACTTTCACACACTGCCTTTGACCGCCACTACTAGTGACTGCAGGTTTATTTCATGAATGCGAGACTGCGTTTGTGATTGTTTTTAGTTCATGTTGAACCAGTGTTGTATGCATTGTTTGCTGCTTTTAAATTGAAATTTTTTTACGTTACCTAGATATTAATAATAAAGAAGTATTCTGTGTTAAATGGTTATTGTGTGCTTTTATCATTGGTATACAGATTGAATAGTTTCATGATGTAACTAAGGGATGGAAGTTACACAAATGAGTTGGTTAAAAAAAGTGATGAAAATATTGTGAATAGAAAATGGAGTTGCTGTATGTGATTAAAAAAAATTGAGATTTGATTTACAATTTGGGTTGTAAAAACTATCTTGCTGTAAACACTAAATGTCAGTGGGGTTTTATTAAGGATAGTTTAAGATGTATCATATCCATGAAAATAACTATATTATTCAATTTACACACAAATCTTTACTTCCATTATTATGTTTTAAACATTTTCATCACTTGAATTCTTTCTTAATTATTAAAGGTTACTCCATTCTTGAGACCACTTTCTTTAAAGGGGACCTATCATGCAAAATGCACTTTTGTACGTCTTTTATACATGAATATGTGTCCCCGGTGTTCCAGGGAACTCACCAAGTGTCAGAAAACACAACATTCTCTATTTTCCTCCATACCCAAATCTCTAAAAAAGGGGCTGCAACGGATCTGATAAAAACTGATCCAGATTTGAACACTGTCCTGACGTCAGGACGGTGGCGCTACGGCTATTGGGCCAACTCCACCAATCAGGAGGAGACAGCCACGGCCATTGCCGTTCGAAAGCGCTGGAGACGCTGTAGTACATATGCCAGGCCTCTAGGTGGTGCTGTTCTCACAGAATCAGCCCTTGCAAAAAAGGGGTAAAAAAGTGAAAATTGAGGAAATGAGGCATGGCTAAAATGCATGATCTGTTTGGTATTTTGAAAAAAAAAAAAGTATAAATATGCCTTATATAGGTATGGTCCTACACTATATTTATAATATAGCATGATAGGTCCACTTTAAATAAAGAAATGCAGATGCTGCTTTGAACATATCGAGACAGTTTTAATTAAATTGGCTTTAAATTAGACAAAGCTATTATTACTTACTCATTTTACAACAGTTTTTCTGTTCACATCTATCCTCATCACTTTGTTTTCGTCAATTAATTAATGTTAGCCTACTTCCACACCTTAGAAATGAAAAAGCCTAGGACATGACATGTCTAAAAAAATCATTACAATAATCTCCAAAATATATTTTTATCAGAAAACACAACAAAGTATGCTCTCTAAATATTTTCCACAACACTTTAAATAGTAGATTGAAATAATAATAATAGACATGCAATAACAAAAAAAAAAGATTGTAAGTAATCTACAAAATATATAATGACCAGAAAAGACAACAAAGTATGCTTCCCTACTCTTAAAATAATAGATTTACATAATAACAGACATGCAAAAAGAAATCTACAAATATTTGAATATGTCGTAGTAAGAGGAGTATCCAGCAGCCTCCCCTCCTCCCTCTCTCTCTGTCCGGCAGGAAGTTTCTCCAGTCGGGGGTTCGTCACTCAGTTGAACCCGCGACCAGCCGCCGGTGGAGATGACTTGAACAGCGGATATCAGGACAGTTTCCTCCCGCTCTTTCAGCTTTTATCGGATTTTAATATGCCAGAAGACCCCAAATACTCTCATGGAAACTGCTATTTTACTCCGAGTAAGCCAACTGTTGAGTTCGTGAAGGCGTCATGGCAAATGTTAAAGTTGCCATCCGCGTCCGTCCTCTCAACGCGAGGTAAGATATCAGCTGTCAGGCTAATTCAAGTACTTAAATGTACATTTTAAGAGTGAACTTTATTATAAATGTCTTTTTTTTACTTCATGGCAGAACTGTTGTAGCCAGAGTCATGTGACTTAAGCTGCTCCTTAATGCTAATCAAAACAATAACCTAACGTTAAGCTTCTCATGTTTAATTAGCACTTTTTAAGTAAACAGCTATCAAGTTTTAGCTAGCTTGTTAGTTTTTAGCTTGTTAGCTAGCTAAAAACAGTGGTGCACATGGTGAATAATGACAACTGTGGCTGTCAGTAGTGACTCATGTTGTGTGCATGTGTGTGTGGTGCTGAGTAATGTCCAAAAACCTTGAGCTTGTTAAGGTTTAAAGTGTCCCACTCATAGACTGTATATATAAAGGTCCCACTACATATTATTTTTACGCACAGCCATTAAGACTGTGGTGATTAATTGATGCTTTTAAAACACCTTTGCTTTATGTATGATTGCACCTAGGATCAATCAGTATCAGTTATTTTAAAGCAATCGATCATTGCTGTACCTGAGCCTTACAATTGATTCCAAAATTGCAAGAAAATCAGAGCTTTTTCTTTGTATTATCCCATCTTTTTCTGAACTTAAAAATGTTGGTTAATAACAGATGGTTGATAAACAGATATTTAAGTACTTGCTGGAATCTCATTAACTGGTGCCTGCTGCTCAGATGTGATCTGATGCTTTTTTCTTCATAGATGGTATATCTGTTTCATCTTGTTCTAGCTCATACAAGTTTACACTCAGTAAATTGTTCAACCTAGGACTCTGTTGTACTTGGCTGCATCTTTCCATCAAATGGATATACTCTAGATGTCTTGAGCATCCTTTATTACACATTGCCTTATTATCCAGCCTTGCATTCTATTTCTGAGAACTTTCAGATCCCCATTAAAATGAAATGAAAACCTCTCTATTATGCATGGCTAGAAAGGTTGTATGTGCACTGGTTGACTGCACAGAAGTTAGTAATGAATAGTCCACTCGTTTAACAGTGGGGTTTAAGAGATTGATTACATAATATGGAACTGAAAAAAACAAATTAGGCTTAGTCAACTGATGTTGCTTAGTCGGATAATTAACTCTTTAAGCCATTTTAAGGCAAAAATATATACATTTTAAATACACAAAACACATTTGTTATCTCATTTTCTCATTGGCTTTTAGATTACCTTTGTTAGGTGTGAGGCATTTATGGAAAAAAAGTTCCCCCCTGTTTTTATAGTGCTGTAAAATCTGCTGTTTAGGTAGCAAAGTAGCTTGTAAAGCTACTTTGCTCCACTGGACCTCCCTTTACATGAAGAGAGCTATTTCTACAACATGTTGAATAACAGATATTTGTTTCAGCAGTGTGAGGATATAGTACATAGAGTCCTACAGTAGTATATTGATTTCACTTCAACTCCTGCAGGATGTTTGGCTGGGGTTCTTAATCTAAATGCCACTACAGTACCATAACAAAGCATTATCCAGGCTATGGAGGCTCCGACAATGATTCTTTCAAACAGCCTTCCTGGTATTTTGCATAACAAAAGCAATTCTTATACATAATGTTCACTGTCATGCAAATGTCTGTTTCCTTATTCCTGGATCTGTCAGTTTCACTTACACATAACTTTAGCACCAGGTTGGTCAGCTGCATTCCTCATTGGCCGGGCGCAGAAGTGTGTTGCTCATTGTTTAAGGACTCAATGCCCCCCCCCCCCCTGAGACGGCATGTGCAAAAACATGTGTGCCAGATTGTGAAAATTCTGGTCCTTGGTTTGTTTCAACACTGTTTTTTTTTACGAGGTTTACTATTTTCTACCACCAACCTCCTCCCCTTCATGCTACTTAGAGCCTGAGATTGAAGGTTGCTGGTTTTGGGTTGGGCCACCACTGCTGGAAAAAGGAGTCCCGCATGGTGAAGCTCAGGGGGAGCTGACTATTACAAAACCCCCCCGTCGTCCCCCAACCCTCCACAGAGACTCAGCGTTTGCACTACACACAGAAATCGCCGCCTTTATCGCTCCTGGAGATCGAAATAATCTCAGCTCCATGTTGTGATTGCCTCGATTTTCGTGTGTGTTGCATCAGATGTGCTGGGTCCAGCTGCTGAGTTTACCTTGTTTCACACACACGCAATGACACACACACACGCACACACACACACACACACACACACACACACTCATACAATACTAGTGTAGAATCTGTGGAAACAGCCCAAGCTTCCTCATCCGAGTGAAGCGTCTGTTTTCATTTGAATCTGAAACTGGTCAGTGACGATTTCATGGATCACACAGAGGTTCATTGTGTTAACCATGTGACAGCCTCAAGTCAAGTGGCCTAAATGTCTCTGGACACCCTCTCCATTATGTCTGCATCTGCAAAAATAGTTTTTTTTAAACCTATTGTAATCTGTCTGCAGGGTGTTTAATCCAAAGTGAAACCTTTGTTAAATATGTCAAGTGGGAAATGCTATGCTCACAATATTCCTAGTAAGCTGTTTACATGGCTAATGAAAATTAATAATCCATTAATATTCCTGTAAACATGCACCCCCCTTGCAGTATGTGCTACAACTGCACTTCCAACCTTTTCCAACTGCAGTCAAGAGGCAGTGTGTTGAAAACTGCGGCAACCAAAACGTTTTCTGATCGCGCTGTTAACATGACCAAAGAATGCTCCCAAAATCTTTGCAATATTGGCATTTTCAAAAATATTTCAATCACCAAACGGAATTTTCGTAATCTTGTCCTATTCGGAATAATAGTGGAACATTATTGATCATATAGATGTAGTCACTGATCACTACTGATATGCCTTTTATGTTTTCTCTTCAATCTGATCACTCTTACTTCTCATAAAAAGCTGTCACACTTCTCAACGCATTCCAAATATGAATGTTTACAAAGTTGACTAGAGCAATGTTTTCTTCTCTCACAGGGAGAGCGCAGATGGAGGAAGGTTAGCGGTTCAAGTGGAGGACAAGCTCGTTAGGATCAAAAATGTAAAGGTGAGTGTTTTGCTGTGATTATATCCAACGTGCTTTACATTTATGTCCAATATTTAGTGTGTAGAGGGCCTTTATCTACCACAACAACAGGATGTTTACAGCCTCAGACCAGCCTTTTCCCGGCTCAATGTCACTATTGTTTATTATATGTGTTGAACACACACACACACACACACACACACACACACACACACAGGTTGATTTTTCTTTGCACAGCAGGAAAGAAAGGTGAAATGAATGGGCTGTGACTTGTTTTTTTTAGTTCAATAATTTGTACGGCCCTCGGAGGATGTTGTAAAAATTGAAATGGCCCTTGAGAGGAAAAAGGTTCCCCACCCCTGCTGTAAGCAGACACTTTCACTAAGCTTCAAACCTGCTGCGTCAGATGTCTGAGGAGACTCGTCTGTGTGGTTGAGCTGCTTTGCCTGTGTTGAGATAATACAACTGCAAAAGCCTTGTTGAGGATCATATCATAATGTGTATCTCCCATGTGTACAAGTGATGCACACATTCAAATCAGCTTACAGTTGATTGCTAGTCACACGTACTGTACATGGAGACTTTTGTTGATCAAGGTTTTAGCTAAAGACATGTTTTTGTTTACATTTTAATATGCTGACGTAAAGAGAGAAGTTGGGTGGGGGAGGAGAGAATCTGTTACAAATGATGTGACGGAGACAGACCACATATGGCCGCCCTGTGCCATGGAAAAGGTTCAAGGGAATCATTAGTTAGTGGGACAGTTTTGGAAGATCTTAAACAGCAAAGAAAAAGGGTGGATTTTACAGGACTATAACCTTGAAGCTACTTTACAAACTGCAAGTAAAAAAAGCTATACAAATCTATTCATCTAAATTAAAAAGCACAGAACCAGAAAAGATAAAAGGTAATGTTTTGCAGCTAGTCTGTTTTCCCCCCTAACTTAATTTAGGTGTAAAACAAGAGACTTTATCAGTGGTTGGAGCTCTGGTGGGCTGTAGCTGGTGTTGCTTTTGGCTAATCCCTCTCACCACAAGGCTTTTGTTAAATCTCCTAAAAGTGCTGGGGGGGATAAACAATCGTGCTCTCAGAGAGTCCAATTGATACTCAGAGCTTAGTGTTGCCTAATGCTGCAGAGAGGAAGAAAAGGCTATTTACATAAATGGCTGAGTGGGTTCATCATTTGGATTATGATGTGGATAATTGACTGCTTGGTTTGAACTACAACACTGACTGAAGGACCCTCTCCTCAGCATGAGTCTGTCTCTGAAGTCTCCGTGAACAAGAGCCGGCGCCAGAACAAATCTACAGAGAAGGCATATGATTTTCATGGGAGGGCTCACAAAACCGCCATGTGCCGCGGCTCAATATAGATCGTATCAAACAGCATGGCCAACAGCATTGCGTAAAGACGCACACCTATCGCAAATAAATACACAAATAAATACACAAATAAAGGGCAACATAGAAACCACTTTTGAAACATTGTGTGCGTGGCGGCTCAAACACTTTTAACTCATGAGGAAGCACGATTTTTTTTTGTAGGTACTATCTTAAAGGGCCCATGTCATGGCCATTTCCACTGATCATAATTCCATTGTTGAGGTCTACTAGAATAGATTTATATTGTGCATTTCTCCAAACTCACATTGGTTTCTCATACAGCATCTCTGTAAACTACGTGTATTCACTGAATTTCACTCTCTGCCTTTAACGGCTCGTTGTAGCTCCAATAGCTCCAGCCCCCACCCTCCCTGTGAGCACAGTGTGCTCTGATTGGTCGGGACGTTGTGAATCGCGCTGATTCCGTGGAGGTGTTGTTTCCTTGTTTAGGATACATAGCGAAACACAGCCAAACTCATCCTGAGCACACACAAAGTCACATCCGAAGTAAAAACAATAAGTGTGGCTTGATATTGAGTAAGAAAAAGGTTGATAAACGCTGTGAGAATGGGTCTGCAGAGAGAATTTCGCCGCGATCCCAACTGTCTGTTATCAGCCTGCAGCCAGGGAGGAGAAATCAGCTGAGCTGCCTGCTCCCTGCACACAGATGTGTGTGTGAGGAAGTCCGTGGATTGGTCAATTTGGACCAATCAGCGGGGGCTTAACGTAACGGCTCCGCGGACGTAACATAACGGCTCCACGGATTGGTCCATTTCGTTCCGGGTACGGGTTGACATCATGCCGTCCCGGAACGAAATGGAAGAATCAAATGGACAATGACGTATCTCCAACGAGGCGTTTTGGGGAGGTATTTTCTGTGTTAGAGTTTTACTCGCTACAGGGTGTACTTTGAGGGTTTTGACTCTGCACACCGTTTACATGCATAAAAACCTTCATAACACACAAGGGGACGGGTAATAACCGGAAAAGCATGACATGGGCCCTTTAAAAACCAAAAAATGGTATTATAAAAAACAAAAAAAAAACAAACCTGTTTATTGGGGGACGGCAGGAATGTCAAATGGGAGGGCCTGTCCCTCTCTGGCCCTCCCACGGCACGGGTCTGCATTTAACTCATAAAAGAGACACTGGTACTGATTTTGCAATTGAACGTGCACTCGCCAAATGTTAACATGATACACTGATGTCACCCCGAAAAAATCCCAGTGCAATTACACTGGAGTCTGATAGTAACACAACAACTCGTATGCCACAGAAGTGAATAGTAAATGTGTCGGAGAGAAACAATTATTTGCACTTTTAAACAAGAGCAATGTGACCTATACTTTTATTTTGATAATGTGATAGTGACACATAAACAAGAAAAGCTTTATAGAATGAAGGGATGTTCATGTGAAAAACACTTTTAATAGAAGCAGCATTACTTTTATTTGAATGAAAGCTGTTTAACCCAAAGCATTTAACTGGGTAAAATAACCCAAAAGATACCAGACATTGTACATCTAATGCTGGAACGATATGTATTTATATTATGATAACTGGTATTTCACCCAGGCGATATATTGCTTTATAATACTCCTATTATATTAAGATCTTGCCGACATTAAAATGTATAAAGAAAGAAGTCTATTTTATAGATAAGCCACTTTATTCTCTTACTTTTACTTCAATAGATCAACATCTAATGCAGCTCAAATTCATTAGTTTGAAGTCAGATCTTTCCCCACAATCAAACTCATGCCTTAGTGCTCACAAACTTGTTTTATTCTCAAAAATACAGAACTGCAAAACAGAAAATAACAGCATGTTCTCAGCAGCAGGAACATTATTGTTCTTCAGGTTGACTGCAGTGATTTAGAAGAAGCGATGTTTAGATGCTGCACTGATTATCCACTACAACTGTTGTGCTGGGACAAGTCCAAAAGCTGCTGTGCTGTCTTTCCTCACAGTTAGCAGAAAGGTGTTTACTGTTAATGCAGTGAGGCGACTAAAGAAAGCATTGCTAATGAATGGAAACAACTTGCTTGTAATTCCACACCATATCAGACCTGTAATAAAGCCATAGTACCTGGCTTTATTGCAGTTTTTCTAACACTACTCTAATTTCTTAGGCCCAAATTCTTATGTCATTGAATCTGTTGTTTTAAGATGTTCAGTGAGCAATGTATACAGCTCTGTCAGACAAAGTTCTTTATTTATTGTTCTGACTTAATAAAGTAATTGTTCTTTCCATCTTGCCTTGTTATGCTAGGATTTTGACCGGTATTAGAGTGTTAATAATAATCTCTTCTGTTTTCCTCCCTGAAGCTGGACGGACGCTCAGATGGTGCTATAGATTCCAGGGAGAAGCTTCTGGAGTTTTGTTTTGACTACTGCTACTGGTCGGTGGACCCTGCAGAGCCTCGCTATGCGTCTCAGGAGGAGGTAATGACCTGACCCTTAACTAACCTAAACTAACCTTAACAGCATTCTCATAACATTCCCATGTACTTGATACTGTATGGAGGCATTGCCTGAATAATGACTGTTTAACCGTTATCTTACAACATCAGAGTTTACATCCAGAAGTCTCAAACCCAACTTTTCTCTGATGTTGCGACTGTAGTAGTGGTGGTGGTGTAGAAATATGGCAATAAACAGTGCTTATTCAAACGATGCTCCATTACAGATATACACAAGAGTGAACGTTTGGTTTAAATTGAATTTTCTTATGTTGTCTTGAATCTTGCACTGCAGTATTTGTATAATGAATGTAGGTCAAGGGTTTCTGTCCTTAATAAGTATATACAGTACACTAATTGGCCACTTCATTGGGTACACCTGTTTATTCTAAGGCAATCCAAAATAACGGTTCTGCCATTAAGATGACTTATGATTTCAAAAACATTTTTAACTTAAACTTTATTTGATTATAGGGTCTTTTGTGCACGGTTACAATCAAATGTGCTTAACAATACAATGAAAATACAACAAACCAATGATAATTTAGCAAAACAAAGACTAAGAAACTAATGAAAACACAACATTGTGTTGTTATTCAAGCATGCTATATCAGAGGCATGCTACCTCGCCCCGATGTCTTTCTCCTGACCCTGGGAGTGATTGAAAGTCCAGTGTCAGAGGTCCTTGTGATCTAAGTGGAGCTTACATTGGAGAGCATGTCTGACAAGTATCCAGGCGCTAGTCCATGGTGTGATTTCAACTCTAATAAAAGGATCTTTAACTCTTATTATAAAAACAGGCAACCAATGAAGGTACTTTAGGACAGGTAAGATATGTGCTCTTGAGACTGTTACATTAGATTGAACAGGTGAACCTAATCAAGTGGCCACTGTTATTTATGTAAGTAGTCATTTGATCAGATTTGACATTTGTGAAGCACTACCTAAGGATTGGTCTTGTTTTTGTGCCGTGTTAATTGCCCTCTTGTGGGTAGAGACAGAGTGTGTGTGCCAGTGCAGGCTTTTGCCCACAAGTTGACACTGGGCAAACACAACCTGTACCAAGAGGAAGACAAACCACAACACGGTGGGTGTGTGGGTTGTGTTGTGTTGTGTATGTTTTTACACAGATGGCCACTCGGGGGGGATATGATATCGGCTCCATCTGTTACCCAGAAGTCTCTTTGCCTCAGACATGGCACGGCTAGAGTCAGCTCGCTTTTCATGTCCCCGGTTTTGATTGGGCCATTAGATATCTTTGTGTTGCTTTGATTGGAGGCTGTTGCTGGAACCTGAGAAGGGCTCAAGATCAAGTGGAAATGACAGCTGATTTTAATTACAGCAAATCTGTACAAAACCTACCCTTTTTTTATATAAATTGTCTTGTTATTAATTTGTATGTACATCAAGTTTTCATTGTCCAGCAGAATAGCTGCACCCTTAGCATTACAGTCACTTTTTATCTTCTCTGCCTCTCTCTCCTGTTGTCAGAGCTGCCTTTGTATGTTTGAGAAAGACCAGGCTGTGAGGAGGACGGCCTACTCACTGTGCAGCGTAACAGACAACACAGCACTTCTTCCTTTCTCCTCTTTATTCCTCTCTGGCTTTGGACGCCGCTGTCCTCAGCAGAATTGTGTCCAGTCACAGAGGCTTGGTTGCCTACAAGACATTCCTCTTATGACCCGGGGTGGGCGAAGGACACAAGTGAAGTTCAGAGATTTAAATCTGACCTCTTTTTCCTGCACCAGAATCCAAAGAATTGCCTCTTTAACAAAAAACGTTTGGATGACGACGTCAGCCGTTAACTGAACACATCACCGCTGAATATATTTGAATAAGGCATCTCTCTGGTGGATATAAATTAACAGTGAAGACTCTGTTTGTGTTGCACGACAGTAAGCCTTATTAATGGAGCACAGAGGCAGGTGGACACTATAACTCAAGAGCCACTCATAACAGTTTTACCAGACAAATAGCTTTGAGAGAACAGAGCCTGTCTAAGAAGTCACATTTTTCATCCACAACCAACATTTTACAGCCGTGTTGAGATTTCATGTTCATTTCCCACATTGTTGTATCGCCTCATTTCATTCAGTGGGTGGCATTACATTTAGGCAATCACTTTTAAATTAGTGTTCAGGTTTTGTTATATCTGGGATCCAACGACATATTTTAACACATTTAATGAGATGATGTTTTTTTGCCAGTACTACATTTTTTCTCATGGTTCCTACTTTCTAAAAATACATTTTAGTTGCTTTAGAGCAGGAAAAGGGACTTGCTCTGAATATGTCTACTGCGGTCCCCATGAGACTATCTGAGCCAGTGGTAGCAAGTAGAGCTTAACCCTTTCTTTTCCACTCCAGTGCTATCCTACCACACTGCGCCCCTCAGAGAATGGAAGCCCAGTCCCCCCCCCCCCATTTCTGTGCAGTACATGTCCATGAATCACTGATAGTTTCAACCAGACACTCGTGGGGTTCCTGTCCTCATCCACTGTTAGAGCAGACAGACTAGACAGAACTGTGGTATCTAACTTGATGTTGGGGTGCAGACGTGGTTGCAATTTGTCCCTGATGGCTCCCCACAAGACAAAAAAAAATGGTCACACAGAAGCTCAGTTTTTTAAGTTGCATCAGTCTGTTACAAAAGTTTCTAGAAGAAGGTTGAGAAAAAGAACGAGTTGGGCTCTGACAGGTAAAAGGAGTTTTTTGGAAGAGAACATATAACATAATGGGAGCCAGCTGTTGGGGCTGTTTGTCCAAATCCTGCCTTTTTGTTTTGGGGCTACATGTTGAGCTAATAAATAGCTTTTTCCACTACTTAAAACTCAAAACCCTCAGCTTTTGTATTGCTTTTGACAGTTTGAAACATGGAGAGGGAAGTAACGGAGAAGCAGAGGATTGAGACAGGG